CGGAAACCGTCGCGAGAGGGAGCGAACTACGAAAATGCAGTAGAGATGCAGTACAGGCGATCGGAAATACAACGAGCGTATTGTTACCGAATACCGATGGAGATTGTGTTATCGAACAGCTCCATTTCCGCGAAAATAAGACATTCTAACGAATAATGTTTCCCATCATCCTGGACAAGCCGCAATTCGAGTTCGGTATTATCTTTCCATGTTTAATCTCGCCGATACAGAAGGGTAGAATTGGATAGCGGGACAGAATTGACAAGACAATAATTTTTCATTTAAATTCCAGCAAAAAGAAGACGACGATTCACATAAGAATGAAAAGTGTGCTCCGTGTCAATGAAAAATTGTAAAAAATTTCTCCATGCAGAGCGACTTTGTCTCACGCGAGATAAATTATTGTGTCGCGGCAATGCGCGACGGATATGTCTCCAATGTCAAACAATTGCAATTAGTCAGGAGACATTCGCGAAAACTTTCACGTCGCGGCGCGTCGAAACATTAGAGCGGGAATTATTCCCGGCCGGTCAACTTTTCCCGATGCCATAAAATTCGCCGATTAAAAACTTGAGGGTCGAATATACCGTGCGTGTCGTATCACCGTCGTGTCAACGAAATCGTGCGAGGAAATTTGTTCGGTGTTTAACGAGCAAACTTCTATCGTGCCGGCGATGCAGATCGATTCGCCGGCGACAAATTGATTTCGTGCCTGAAAGATAGCGATCGGCGGAGTTCGGGAAGGAAACGTCGAACCAACTTCTCGCGCGCATGGCACGTACACACCCCCGCGCGAAAAGAAGGATCGAAGGCGGAGGGTCGTCGATCACACCGGATCGTATCGCGCGCGGGAATAATGGGCCGCGCGCGGGCGCGATGGAAATCATTTTCCGGGAAGTATTAATAATTACGATCGATCGGATATTTATGGAAATGACGTTGGCGACGGCGATACGCGATGCTCCCTCCCGCCTAAGCCGATTGTGAAGTTCGCGGCGGCGATAGCGGAATTATGGGAAGAAAGCAATAACGACCCCAAGATTTATGATATCGCGCAAAATGTACCCCGGCTAATGTCCCCGCGTCTTTTACTTTCCATCTATACCTCGCGCGCGCGGAACGCAAGCCGTAGGTCTCTGCTAAACATGATAATGTCCATCGTTTTTCTTCTCGAAACGTCGCCCAGTATTATTTCGGGGAAAAAACGCGAGTCGATGCTTTTAAAGCGCCACGCCGGTCGGTGCTTTTAAAGGGACTTACTCTCGCGAGATTGTGAAAGACGCGATGGCCGCCGCGCCGCCGCGCTTTTCTCACCTCCTCGTTGTCGCCGTTCTCTATGAGGCGAGACGATCTCATGCATCAATCACGGTAACAAAACCGCGTCAGGATGACGGCGGGGTATTGTTGCTACTCTCCGAGAAACTTGGAATCTTTTCTCAACCTTCTATTCTACTATCACCTAACATCTTAATGTGAAACGGCCCGGTAATTGCGGTACGTACGTTTATTTGCCTTGACATCGCTCATAATCTAATTATAAATTAATTTGATTAAAATGTTGCGTAAGAGCCGCATCGCACGCGTGCACTCAACATTTAATGCGACGCGCAATCATATACAACTGAGAGTTAATTGAATGGTTAATTCTTTTATAAGCTACCGATACGCACGGCCGGAGATCCATTTTATTAAAATTGGAGCAACTCGGTATCAATCCCATTATCCAAGTTAATTCCTCAGTACCGAATGTTCGATTAACCTCGTTTCTCCCCGTCTCTCAACTTCCTCTCGCCTATTTAGCTCTCGCTAACCCTCGACGGCCGTATCCCCCGTCTTCTCTCGCCCGCCTCTCAATCGTTAATTATCTTACCTAATAGCATTCTAGGTCGACTATATTGTTAAATATCTTAAATATTTCTCCTGTGCCGACCTATCCCTTAAATTGCTAAATATTTACGGGCACATTTTCATGCGCGATAAAATATGCATATTATTTTATCGTCAATTGTTTATTTATACTTAATGTTATCCCGCCCAGCAATTGAATTTCAGATTAGCAAATTCGGGTTAAGAGTCAAGTAATTGTATTGTCGCAATTAATTCGCGATTGATTGATATCGTATCGTTTAAAATAAACGATTGTAAAAGATGACGATGATAACGCGATAGAAAAATATTCAATTACAAATCAGTAGGAGGGTTTATTAAGTTAAAAGAAACGTTCATCAGTTACTTAACGTAACATCCGAAAGATCGATATACGAGTGGCTCTCAGCAGAAAATGACGTGAGACGACAAATAAATAATAAATCTTTTGCACACATGTCAAAGATTTAATCTTTTCAATACGTTTGCTTTCATCAATTTAGAATCGTTCTAATTTTAAGAAGATTATTTTTATAGCAATATAAAGGAATATAAAATGTACCGTGATGAGGATATTATTCTGATATTAAGTATTTTTAATATAACTGGCATGTGAGTAATTAACTCGGGTAATCTGTATAAAAAATTATTCGGTTTCGCGATAAAATATTTATTAAGTCCTCGCGTCATTTTATTTTGCTTCAAACGATATAAAATATTCAATCAATATACATCAAACTCATATTCAATCAATATATTGTGTATCAAATCCAGCTATCAATAAATATGGATAAACTATAACAGATTATAGGATAAAATTGTATATTATATTAACCAATGTTTCCTACCATATCAATAATCTATTTTTATTCCGCATATCTACATAATGCACAAATATCTGGCGGTGATCTTCAATTGTCCGTAAGATACGCGAATACCATGAGAAAATTTTAACGAAAAATATATTCTAAAACTGTCCAATATTTTACTTCTTCTAGTTTTATTTTACGTCCTTTTCTTTCCCTGTCTCTCTCGTTATCTATTTAACATTTAAATAATCAATTCGAAAAATTTATTTTATTCTCATGGTATTATTACTTTCTTGAAATCAGCAATAAATGATATGAAATAATATAATAAGTTCTATTTAAACTCTGTGAGCACGCGAAACTAGCTCATATCCAGGATAAATTAACAATTGCACATATTCGAAGATTAAATATTTTCACCTTAATCTGTTCTAGTCCATCCATTTTAAGACAACGAATCCGCGAGGAATCATATTTTTATAATATTAATTCGGTACTCACTTAAATCTGAATATATTGTGTCTCATACGATATTTTCACGATTCGTTATCTCAATTTAAAATAAAGGATAATTAATCACTCACCGATACGATGTGCAACAGCGGAGCTACGAACCACATGGAGCTGCGTTGATCTGTAACACATAAATAAATATCCAAATTACGCTCCAAATAATTAATATCTCACAAATAATTGTTGTCCACGTCGAACATTGTACTCGTAATTCACGAAAATATTTATAACGGAATTACATAATTTTCAAAAATAACTATTATACTTGTGTTATAAGCCTTAATAAAATTTCATGAGCGAAATGCATTTTCTCCCGTACGAATAAATAACCAAATAAACGAGAATAGGAGAACGACTAATCTACATACGAATAATATAGACATAATTTACCCCAAGGTTGCTCCGCTGACGCCCGATGCCTCTCAGGCTTCCTCCTCCTCTCAGCTTCGTTCCTGATTGCATCACACAACACGCACTCGCGGAAACACGGTTAATTACGATCGCGCGTGAACTCATTATGAAATACGTTAAGGAATATAACCATCGCACTGCACTTCGCGTAGCACTCCCGAAGTTAAAACTAGTTAAAATTCAATTCTTCGCGAGTACGACTGCGAGAAATAATATCAAGGCGCCCGGATACGATCGCGCACATCTACTTATATGTATACACATATTACGACTGGCGACAAGGTACTCTACTAAATACGCCAAGTTGAAAGTAGAGCAAAGTTCCCTATAATGAGATAGGCTTCTAACATGAGACAGCAGATTTCCAACGTCCAAATTCAATCACAATTCGTTCTACGCGACGATTACAGGACAATGAATTTACCGCTAAACAGATTTCACTTCAAGAGCAATAAATTCATGGTGGAACCGACGGACGATGCTTGTTAATTTAGCAGAAACCCCCGCTATCTCGTATTAGCAACTTGTCTCATAATAGGGGACTTTCCTCCAGTACTTTTAAAGCGACGAAAGTTAAACATCGATGCAAGATATATTTGCCTTCGACGATTATCGCCTGTAAAATGTCGCAACGCCACGATGATTTAACACTTCCGTCCCGCGCTCCGACCCCGTCGGACAAATAAATCGCGCAAAATGTTTACTCTGATAAATAGCCGTCGCTCGTGAGTCGTTAATCGCGGGAGTTAATTAACTACGCGGCCCGATAACTGTTAACTGTTCGCGAGGAACGATCGCGTTCTCGCGCACCTCTTGTCGCACGCGCGTTTCGAGGCGTAATAACACGGTACACGGAAACGGTTGGTGCCGCTCGCGAGTCTTGCCGCGCGGCACACCGTGCGTAAATAAACAATACGCCGTACGTTGAAAAAACAACCGTTGAGCACGGGCGTCGAGCGTGTCAGTCATATACACCGCTAACGAGAATTATTATCACGCACATTGCCGAATACATGTATAAACGTACACCGCCTGTTTCGCTTCTCAAATTAATTACTAAACGCGCGATACGCGCTCGCGGCTTCTCGTCTACAATCTGTCTAATCGCGTATCGCTCCGCTCTCTCGATTCAATTGGACGGATTGACGTTAACTCGTTGATTAATTTAAAGCGCGACCCCAAATTCCGATTCCGAGAATCGTCCGACCGTGACGGAACAAAGAAGCATGACCGAACAAGAATTTATAATTCCTATTGTCCACTATCGCTATCTCACGCTCGTGAATCCCGTGCATAAATTAGCATAACGAATCGACCAAAGAGACGTACAAATCCATCGGGCAAGCTGTTCGATCGCCGCGTTTGATTGCTAATTGTATACAGAAAACTTTCCCGTTCTAGAATACCTTGTCGCGGTCGCACTCCGCACGATAATAGACGAGATACGCGGAGCGGCTCGCGCCGCGACTTGCTCGCTCGAGGGTCGACGACCGAGTGATAAGCCTGGCGACCTTGTACATACATACAACGGGGCGCGGTACGCTGTTAACAAGAAAGAAAATAAATGTGAGTTCATGAGCTCTTGCCTTTTACACTTTAGTCTCTTACACTAAACTTATTTATTAATTAACTTATTTATCTAAATTGTATCCTTAGTTCTATCTACTTTGACTGTTTTTTACTCTTAAATTTATTTATGTATTTGTACTCGTAATAATTCCAGATATGACATTAGGAATTTGCTGCCACAGACTCGTAAACTCATTCTGTTTCGGCATAAAATTAATTAGTTCAGTCAACATTAGGTGCGTTTTTCTCCTATGTACACTGATAAAAAAATAGCTTAATCCAAAAAGATATTACTTTACTCAAGAAAATTATTCATTAGGTGGCTCCTAATAGCTTATTAACTTAAATTTAAAAAATAATAAACAAATTAAAACATGCATTTCTTTAATTTAATTATCTATTAAATATCAAAAAGTAGATAATTTTAAATTTAAAAAATTTCACTTTAATTCTATAAAATAGTTTTATAGCAAAGAAAATTTGATTTCTTATTTGACAAAAACAATTATTTTATTTAATAAATAGTATTCTCTAACTCATAAAATTTTTAGTTGAATGTAGAAAGTGTAACGATTTAAATTAATTTACTTAATATAATACACGTATTTACTTACAATTTGATATTTTTATTTAAATAGAATGAATATTTACTTCAGTAAAAAAATAATTTTAAGTAAATCTATTTACTTTGTTTAAAGAACTTTTTTGTCAGTGTAACACATACTTGTGTACTAAAAGTTTCTTTCTTCGTACTTTTAAAGTATGTTTCCAAATTGTACTTGAAAAGGACCCGATTAAGAGATCGAAACGTTGTTACTTAAATATATATCACTTTTATGCCAGTTTGGTCGATTTTTAAAAAGAACTTTCCCGTGTTTAATTAGCACTGGCGACAATAAGCCTCACTCAATTGATAAAAAATAAACTTGGAGTAAAACGGTTTCTCCGATGTCGGGCGCGCGGGCGCGTATTTTTTAAAGCGTCGTATAATCCAACTTTTGTAAGAACAAGTGCTCTCAGTCTATTATCAAGCCTTTACAAGTTGCGTTACCGTTAAATGCCGCAAATTACATCGACTGTTTCAGAAGGGCGCAAACGTTTAGTGTAAAGTACATTTTTACATGTCCGCCGTTCGCGTTCGAAAGTGCGGTTTAATGCATATAAATGCAGCCGTGCGCTCCTGGAACGTGCATAATTCATTTTGTGCCTTTTATCAACCTTTCCACTACTATCGTAATATATCTACGAATTCCGCGATAATAATACTTTTCAACGATGTTCCGCGCACTTCACCGTTTCTGTTTCAAAATTTATATGCACGGTATGCTTGACATAAAAATGGTACAATAAATATAAGTGAGAGAGAGAGAGACGAATACCGGCCGCGTAAAATGCAATGTAGATATTAAATCGCACGGGTTTAGCACTCGGACTTTTTTTTCGCGCGGTCTATCAGACCTGAATTTCATACTTTTGCACCCAGATAGTTATTTATGTTTCAGTTGCACTGAACTCTCGTTTTGCGATTTAAATTTAGCTCTCGCGACACGTTCTGCAACGCTCCGAAATCATCGTCACTCTTTTGTTAAAAAAAGAATATTCCATTTCCCCCTCGACTACTTTGCTTCCGACACGCTAACGATTTAATAGGTCTCGAGCTGAGAAGTTAATTTATGTCCGCGCTGTGCATGCGAGGTGGAAGCGCCGCTTCTCGCAACATCTTTATATCGCGCAAGTGTGTATGCACGACGTTATCTACATTATTATACGATATCGTGCGGAAATTATATCGCAGCATATTGCGCCGGACTCGCGAGGCGGTACGTACACGCACAATGTTGCACGCGGTTTATCGATCCATACTTTCTTGTCTCCCAACGTAATTTACAACCGCCGCTAGCGCAAACATCAGAACAGTCAATATTATCCCCCGAGCAGAAAACCGAAAACCGAAAGACGGATTACGATGTAATCGCACTTTTGATTCCCCGAGCAAATAATAATCCCTTAAAACAAACTGATAATCGTAATGCCCGTATTTAAAAATGCAAACGATTACAGACATTAATTCCGCATTACCTACTTCACGAATGCGCGATACGCGTTTCCGTACGTGGAAATGTAAAACTAAATAAGCTTTTATCAGAACCGTATTATCGGGAAGAAGAGGGGAATTATATGAAATATTCTTTATTGCATAAAAAGGAATTGCATCCCGGATTATTTTAGCAAAAGGAAAAAAAGCTACCTTATCTTATCGGCGTATCAATATAAAGAGAAATTTAACGAAGCTTTGTATACTTGAAACACAAAGGCCGTCAACCTTTGTTCTACGCTGCAGGGTTAAATTTGGTGAAATATTAACGTATACGGCCCGCTTAGAATTATTCTCTCTGCTATCTCGTGCCGCGCGTTGTTCCTATTCCCTTACACCCTATACATCTTCCCAAACACGTACATATTTTTCCGGTTTATCGCAATATAACTTAAAGCAGGTGCGCGCGGCTTGTAAAAAGTGCCGAGTGTGCGGCGGGGAAATCTGGCTTCTTCACCGTGCTCGGCACATCTGTACGAGTGCACTTATACACGCGTGCACGTTCCTACGGCCACGTTCACGCGCGCCGACGAGCACGCTCGCGTGCATCCGTAGTAGTTGCCGTTGCTGCAACGAAATCTGCCCGAGTCGGCTTATTCGGCCGCCGTAAACCGCGAGTTATAATACGCCGGCGCTCTCGTGGCGGCGCTTCATCGGAATATAAAGCTAAACTGATATTTCCTGGCGGGCTTCCCGCTTACGGCGCAGCCACGAGAGTTATGACGTACGTTTATCCGGGAAATATTAAGGAGAGATAACGTATCACTTATCGGGGATCATGCCCCGCCGGCCCCGCTCCCGTCCGCGCCGCCCCAAAAACGTCTCATCACGGGTGAGCGGATCACCGGCGGTATCCGAGTGAAGAGATGATGGGAGTATCCGGGACGTTATCCGCGGGACTCACGTAAGGAGTTCCAGCATCCGCGCGAACGTAATTCAAGTTTGTCCCTCTTCCGGGTCAGCGCGCCTGTCTGCACGGAAATGCCGCGAAGATACCCTTCGGGCCGCCGCTCGTTCGCGTAAGAATGGCAAAGTTATAATTACTACGCGGAATCAAAGAGTCCGCAATTTCGAGAGAATTTCTTTTCCGGGGAAAAGGACAATTAATCAAATAGCTCGCGCGACGTGAATTATTGTACCTTTTCTTTTTGTTTCTTTCCCTTCTCTCTCTCTCTCTCTCTCTTTTTATTGTGAGAAATAGGTGTCCGGGAAAAGGCAATTTGTTAATCTTCGATTATCTTGCGAATGAGGGATTAAAATCGAGGTGCGGATTATGTGATAATGGGATCTCGATTTATGAGGATAGCGAGCTATACATAAACAAGCGGAGCTTAAACCCTTTTCCTTACACTTCTCTGTCGGGTCTCTAAGAAAATATTTTTTAATATAGACATTTCTTTTTTACATTGTGCGGTTTGGCGTCGGATGCAGTAACGCGGGTCGTCGGCGAGATTAATAAAAATCCTCGGACGGTAGACGACCTGCAATTCTATTTTTTTTTTTTTACGTGACGCAGGACAAAGAATGAAAGAGCTTAGTTAGCATGCATAGTATATTTATTCAAAAGTTTTCGTCCGCCAAGTTGACGCCACGGGAAAAATACGGTTGCATAATAGCAAGAGTATGTACGGCGTAATGCTCCTAAATTAATCTCTATACAGATAAGCCGACGAGGATTATTTTGAGAATAGCTGTTGGGAATAGCGTACTAAAACGATGTTTATCGACGGGGCCATAGCGTTTGCGTTGCGTTCCCGATAGTTAAACGTCGGAATAAAAACGGACAAACCGTCAATAGTGAAAAATGACGTTGAGATTGAATCGAAGACCGACGCGAAATTATCTTTCGGCGATGTAAGTTTCCGCGACAATTAAAAATTAAATACTTGAGGATTTTATGTGCACATCCGAGTCCCGGAAAACGCCGTAAAATTCATCGTCCCGACGTCTCCGTGAATGTCTCGCGCGGATTACCGCGGCAAGCTCGAAATACCGACGTATATGTGTCACGTAAAATTAGGACGACTCCACCTTTTTACAGTAACGTACGGAACCGTAAGAAATTGCAGGGAAATATTAAGAACATAAACGTTAACGTCGTTGCGACGTTACCAGCAACTAGAGAATTAAGCAACTATTCTAACTGTCATTAGCTTGTATTTTTGTTTCATTCTAATTACGTAGCGGTTTCTCTCTCTTTCTCTCTCGGTGTAAAAAAGTTCATTTACATTTTATATTTGTATACGTTTCATTGCAAACGAACTTCCTACAGCTTGGTCTTTATAATTAAGTGTTGATTCGTAAATTTAGTCTATTAAAAATATACCTTAAATTCAATTTTTCAATACGTATTGCGATAACAATTATTACAGAATGTCTTTGGTCAAACCTGATCGAATTTATCGAGCCTTCTTTATTCTTACTTTCACAGAGCGTGCAATTGTCTGCTTTTCATTTTTTTTAAATAATACATAACGAGACTTTTTGTTACTATACCGGAAGTAATGCATAACGAAACTATAGATTTATAGATAAATTGGGTTGGCAGATGGTATTAATGTTATGACAAAGTTGACAACCTCAAAGTTTCCGCTTAATCTACGTAAAACGCGCGCCGTTACGTTCCATCGTTCGGAAAAGCCCAGCGCATTTTATGCAAGCGGAAACTTCCAGTCGGGCAAATTTACAGAAGATTACGACGAAGTTTTTTCATAATGCCGGGGTAAAAGTAAGATGGATACGAATAGGGGTGTGTAAACCGACCGGCATCTTGCGCGGATTACGTCAAAGCAAAATCGCGTTACTGATACGAACTTGCCTCCGCAAATGTTTTTCTGCTCGAAACAACTGCAGTGTGATAAATAATGCAGTTACGTAAATTTAAATTACAGGGTATAATTAA